CCCCCCCCCCCCCCCCCCCCCCCCCCCCATCCTCCGCGCGAGCCGTGCAGTGCAACTTCACAAGGCCACGTCGCGAGGAGAGTCGGTAAATATTTGACTTTTTCAGCCGACATCCTGGATGACGGAAGGGGCCGTGTGGGTCTCCGTGCGCGGGGTGGCGTCCCCAGCGGCCCCCAGCGTCCCCGTTCCACGCAGTTTTATTCCCTTTTTTATGTTATCGGGGTCCCGGTTATCTCCGGCTCGTTTTCGCCATCACGGTCGCTCGTGTACGCTTAGTGAGGGCGACTCGTGCGTGCTCGTGTGTGTTTTCGAACGATCGAGGTTGTGTGCCGATACGCGGCCGTCGACGAGTGGTAGGGGAGTCCATCGCTCTCGTTCCCTCGTGAGTACGCCTAATGAGGCACGATGGGAGAAATCGGAATCGATACATCGAGGAAACCAGCAGGATCGATGCCGAGAGCGAGATGGATCTGAAATTCATTACAGACATATGCCTTGTCGATTGCATTTATAGGGAACCTTTAATGAGGCCCAGCCCTTTGATGGGTCCTTCCCTCTTTCCTTTGCGTGGCACGCAGGTATAAATGGCCGAAAATAACGGAGAGGATCAGGACCATTCCGGGGGGCCGACCCTGGACTCCCAGTTCCGGGCCTTCTCCAAATTCGGCGACAGCAAATCCGACGGGAAGATGATCACCCTATCCCAGAGCGACAAGTGGATGAAACAAGCAGGAGTCATCGATAAGAAAATCACCACCACCGATACGGGGATCCACTTCAAGAAGTTCAAGTGAGTGACTCGCCTGGATAGTTTCGGGTCTTTGACCTCGTCCACGCCAGAAAGTTTGTCATGCAATTTTTTGTTACAAGTCGACTTTCAAAGAAAACTTTCGTGGCGAGGAGGACGTCTTTGAAAGTTCTGCCGGCAAGATTTTTCAACTTTCTGAGAGATTTCTGCGAGAGTTTTTCTTTAAAAATCTTTCTTTTGCAACGTTCTTTCATCGTCAAGAAAACTTTCTGGCGTGTACAAGGCTTTAGCGAAGGAAATCGGCGCTTGGCAGACGATGATGATGTTTCAGGGCGCTCAAGATCGGCTTCGCGGATTACGAGAAGTTCCTGGAGGACCTGGCCAAGGCGAAGAAGGCGACTCTGGATGATATCAAGAACAAGCTGATTCACGCTGGGCCGCCGGGGACGACGAAGGCGACGGTAAGGAGGAAAAAAAAAAGAATCCGCTCGGAATCCATCGCTCCTAGGAAATCTTCATGTTATCTGTCATTCACTGACGTGCCCTGCCGAACACGACGGGAATCGATCACGTCACGGAACTTCCCGACACGAAATCTTCGAGGATCCGATATTTTTAAAAATTCCCTCCCGGTCTTTCCAGCAAGTGATGAAGGGCGGAGCCGTGGATCGACTCACGGATACGAGCAAATACACGGGGACGCATAAGGAACGCTTCGACGAGACGGGGAAGGGGAAAGGAATCGCCGGAAGAAAAGACCGCCCCGACGAAGCCGGTTACGTGCACGGATACAAGCATAAGGACACCTACGACGCCACCGGACATTGAGAGAGGGAAAGAGAGTCGGGGAGGACGTGCTTCGATGGGACATCCTGACATTTCCATGCACCCCACCCCAGTCATTATTACGTATTGTTCGCCTACCTCCCCCCTCTTTCATCTCCCTCCATTATCCTCTTATCCTTCATATTTCATATTGGATCGCGATGAAGCCCGTGTTCCCCGGGAATGCGTGGGGCCGTGCCGATGGGAAACAGTCTCGCATTTAAGTTATTCCGAGAAAGTTTTGTACCGGTGCCGATGAGATTGTCTATCGAATGATCATTCATTTATTGACAGGATGCTCCTTTGCGAGAAAAAAAACTCAACCGCTCCCTGGACATTTTTTAAAGCACTATTTGAGCGACCAGGTATGGTCCGTTCAGTTTCCTGGATTGTTCCACACCTTGTACCGCGGTGACTACGAAGTTGCATATCGTAAGCCATGGGGAAAAGGGAATTTATCAGTTGAAACAGACACAGGGAGTGGCGAGGCATTTTTTCCGGGAAAGGAATATACTGTACAGGGTGATTATAAAGTCTCGTCTATGCATAACGCTACCTAAAAATAGATCGAGACTTTATAATCACCCTGTATGTTCCCGCTGGGGATGAGCCCGACAGGTTTCCTTCCTGCTCCAGGTTCACCACCCGGTTCAGTATCTGCGGTTCTATATGCTTGCTGTGAGTGGGTTCGAATGAGTGGTCAGGACGCACTTTGCATCACGAGCTTTAACTACATGTGATCGGTTTTCCCTTACTTTTCCTGTGTATGCCGTGTGGTGTGATCCACATTTTAATCGATGTGTGTAATCGATGTCATGGACACGAAAGGTGAAGAAGAGACAATGGAGTGCAGGAAGTGACCTCGACCGAAGTGCGCGTCCGCGCAGCCTTCACGCCCGGCTCACGTCCTCTCTAGATGCCAACTTTTCCACCAGTACAAATGCCGAAATGCTACTTCAACCGATATCGAGCGTCCAGAACTTTCGAGCGGTGACGTCACTCGTTTCTTCCTTCGAAGCCTCGAAATCGTGAGTCGAGCAAAGGGAGCATCTGGATGTCGCCACCGCCTGCAAGTTCTGGGCGGCGATTGTGTTTTTCCACTGGCGAATAAATAAATTTGATAAAGCAGATGCCTGACCAGAAAACTTTTATTTTACGTAATGCCTTCGATTGGCCCTATTTCTCAATCTTGGCAGGCGTGGGAACAGGAGACAGGAATCGTTCATGTATGCGTGACAATCGGACAGAATCTACAGACGGACGTCCGACCCGGAAATGAAAACGTTTCCGCTTCACTCGCTCCTTATATTCCACTTTTGCGTTGTATTTATTGTCCTATCTCTCCCATCAATAGATCCGTGGATTCCCTGCTCCACATGTGGAACATCGGTGAAGGTGCTTGGCATTGTGCATAATGGAGGAGATCGATCCACCATAATAGATCGCTTCTCTTGGCACCCATGGCAGCTCCACGCACCCCTCTTTCCCGCGAGTACATTCCTTTCATGCGGGTCCTGGCAAAAAAACGGGGCAGGTGGACCTCGTGAACTCTTCTTTCTTTCCCTTCCCTTCTCCGGTGGCTGTCATCGGCAGAGGGAAGCAGCTCTTGCCGCCTCGCGCCATTCATTTCAGTACTTTCACGTATGGCTTCACGTCCAAGAGCAAAATCGTTGAAGCATCACACAGGGCTGGGTCGATGGGCGGGAGCTACGGTCTTCTTGGATTTAGACGGCATGTCACGTTCTCTGAAACCTGCCTACTTCCCATCTACCCCATCCAGACCAAAACATGTCACTCCTCTCATGAACCTTCCCCACCATATCAGTATCGATACTCTGGTTCTCATTCCTAACTCCACGCAAATGTCAGCATCATGAGCATAGAGACGGGAGGCCACTCTATACCAAAGAATGCCACCATACACGGAAAAAGGAAAAAAAAATTTATTCAGAAAGACTTAAAAAATGCAAGGCATAATTGTGGACGGAATGAGACAGATTAGCAACGTGCCACATCCATAATACTCATATAAAAGTTCCTCGCTTGCACCCAGAGTGCAAGCAAAACATTTGCAAGCGTCATGTTTGCATAGGTGATGTGCAAAAATATCAAAGACATCTACATCTTCAAGAATACAACAGTACGGAGGTAAACTGTGATTTGCCTTGGTGACGAGTCAACCCCATATCGAGATTTAATTAGCAATGGATTTAAAACCCATTTCCGAAAGATTCTCTTAATGGGAAGTGATTCAGAATAGCGATTACTTCTTGGTGAAATGGATTCAATTTAGCTTTCCCTGAAGGGAGTTGAAATTTTGATCGAAACATTTGAAACTTTTACTGCATACCATGGCGCTAGAACCAATGAAACCCAAGCACTGTCTTTTACATCGTATTGGCTATCGATGATGACTGATGAAAGAATGAGAATTCGCCCTCCTTTGCATGACATTAATGAAAATGCTCTTATTAACCCTTTGACGAGTATGCCCGTATATATACAGGCTGACATCATCGGATCCTCCTGCCCTTCATGTATTCACTACGGGTGATCTAGGTGTTAAAAAAACCCATTCCTCAATGGGTTAAGTACACATTCCAGGGCTGATTTTTGGTTCTGGGTTCCTTCTTGAGAATTAAATCTGCACCTGCTACTTGGTATTCCAATGAAGAGTGATTCTGACTTGCAATGTCAAGATATGAAATCATGTATCTCACAGTCAACATGAAGGTACATGATTTGACAAGGAGATTGCGCAAAACAGCCTTGACTTGTGTAAGAACTAACATTGAATTAATGGCATTAGGGAAACATGAATGAATAAATAAAAAAACATGAATAAATAAATAAAAAAGTGAAAATCTGAAAAATGAAACAAGAAACTGAGTGCATACTTTGGGGACTAGAATGATCTCAAGCAGGGACTAGATGCATCCTGAGAGTAATGTCATTATTACATTGGTCCTGAGAGAGACATCCTGAGTGGATGGATCCTGTTTAGTCATTGAGGGGGGATATGGCAGATGAATCGCCTTTCTCAAAGATCCTAAGGACATTTCCTGCATCATGAGTCACACTCCCCCACATGTTGTCCAATCTCTCCATCAAATGCCTGTGGATAAGGAGAAATATATCTTGTCAGTAACCAACCAAGAGAAGGTATATTCACAGAGTACTATAACATCATGCATCAACTGACTGCTTTTCTTCAGTAAGCGCATCAATGGTAGACTGTTTTTCCTGCATCAGCCTTCTCATATGACTGAGTTCTGCCTCCAGCTCGGACTTCTCTGAAATGTGCTTCGCAGACAGGTCCTTTAAAAGTTCTTCTTGAATTTCCACCTGTTTCATCACATCATTCTTCAATGTCTGAAACCAAAACATAAAACAATGTCATACATAAAATATCCTCAATGAATACAGTGTTATAGAAGGGGAACTTGCCTTCAGCTTTTCCTTCAATTTTCCAGATGCAAAGCTCTCTCCCTGTGCAATCTTCTGCAGATGTTGATTTTCAGACTGTCTCTCCTCAAGAATGGCTGCCATATGATTCCGTTCTTGAAGGATAACTTCAGCAAAATCTAATACTTGACCCAGGTATTCTGCAAGAGCCTTTTGTGATGCTTTCTGTTCAATGCTTTCAGTCTCGAACTGCTTCAATCTGTACTGGCATTTGCTACAATGAGAAGAATGTTGGAGATCCCTGTTTTACCTTGTTTCAACTTGTGAAAATATATTTATACAAATTTGAATTTTGGGCATCCCCATCAAAAAGGCTTTCTCTTGCAAAGCATGTGATGGATAAAGGGGTGAAACAGTTCTGATGAACTAAGGATTAATCAAAAAGCTTCACAGCCCAAGTGTTACCAGCCTGTTTGGAAGGGAAACAGAGACATGTTGGCACGAAAGCTTCTATACCACTTTTAACCTTTTGGCATTAGAGTATTTTGGATATGTCAGTACCGTCAATCCAAGTTTTCTCCATCCCTTGGCACTAGGTCAACACAAGATAACTTGGGCAAGGACACCACTGGGTTAACTGACTTTCCATCAGGCAGGGGGCAGGGAGGGAAGAAAGTTCTCTGCATTGGGTACAAGGATGACTAACATAAAAAGGCCAACAATCACTTATATCGTTACAGCAATGAGTCTTCAGCTAGAAATGCCATCCACAAATAAAAGCCATTCCATTAGGATTCACAAGGAAACCCACTTTCCTGTTGTTTTCTATTCAGCAAAAAGAAAGTCTAAATCTGCCATCCATACTTGTTATTCATTGTGTGGACCTAGGTCTAGAATTGGACACAGAAGTGTCTTCATGAATTTTGAATATGATGAATCTGAAATGGTGCCCATCCCATCCTCATTACCTATGGTCATTTGTACCTAGTTACAACTCTTCCTCCATCAGCCTTCACCTATGCCATGCCTTGCAGGTTCACAGAAATAAAGGTATTTCTTAGTATCAAAATGAAATACTATATTACCATTATAGAGTTGAATTCATGCTTTTTTGTCTATGAGGTAAACATACCTGTACAACTTTTTGAGGTTGCTGTTTTCATCTTGGAGCAATTTGAGCTCTCTCTTCTCATCTGATTGTTGTGCTTTCAGCCAATATGCTTCTCTTTCCAACTTCTCCACTCTTCCTTTTAGACGTTTGCTATCATGCCCATATTTCCGCTTCAGGTCATCAAATAACCTATGGAGAGAAAAGATATAATAATAGAAATAACACCAATATTAAGATGTAACATATGAAACAAGTCACACACAATCCCACAACTTCCAACAATTATCAAGAATTTCATATCCATCCATTCATCTTCCCTTCCAGCTTTTGTTTTGAAGGGCATGAGTACAAAAGGTACTTCAAGTAGCATAAAGGCTTTCCCAAGATAAGGAGAATTCTTCTCGAGAGACACACCTCACATGCTTGGAAAACTGGGTTGACTCACGCATTACACTGCTCAACAGCTTTCTCATGTTCCTCCAGTGGTATGCTTTTGTCCAATTCATCACGAATACTGAAATATTGTTCCTGAATTACTTTGTGCTGACTCTGAATAGCTACTGCTTCCCTTTCCATTTCTTGTACTCTCCCAGCAGCCCTCTCTGCCACCTCACTTAGTTCTGACACTAGGAAAAACAAATAGCAGAAAATGGAAAGAATAAACAGTCAAGGGAAATCCCAGTAAAATGTGCACAAAACTTGGAGCATACCTTGTGTAAGATGAACTGCATGAGCTTCAGTGATTCTCTTTTCCAGCTCAGTAACTTTAACATTCAAATGTTCATTCTCCTTCAAGACATTGCTGGCCTCCTGCTGAATTTTCTCATGATATTCTGCTGATGCTGACTCCTACATTAAGAAGTACAATAAATACACAGATGCAGATAATTATAAGAGACATTGAATCATGTTGAATCCAAGGTAGTTTAACTCACGGCATTTCTCAATTTCTCTGCTTCACACTCAACAGCTTCAAATTTGGTCTCTATCAATGCCTTCTCTTCTAAAATCCTCTGAAGCTCTTCTTGAAGGCCATGAATTTCTTTTTCCTTCTGTTTGAGGTCATCATCATATTTGTTCACCAATGCCATGGTACTTGCCAGGTTGGAAGTGAGCCATTCAGGCATTTCAGAAAAATTAATGTTATTCACTTGGAGGGATGAAGCTGTTGAGCCTAATTCCAAATTAAGTCGGAAGACAAGTCCTTGGAGCATCTTTACTTTCTCTATCAATGTTTTGTTTGAAGATTCTAATGAGCTCAATTTTTGAGAACTCTCCAGGTTTACTTGATGCAGCTGGGACTTTAGGGTGCTATTATCAAACTCCAGTGCTTTCAGCTTTTCCTCAAGCTGTTCTATAGTCTTCTCCAATGAAGAGAAAGGAGGGGATCCACTGATAGTCCTTCCTGAAAGAAGCATGAGCACATGTCACATTGGTTGGACTTATCCATTTGTAAAGTTGACATATGGAAAAACATTTTTTCAGGTCAACTAACCATTTATGTAGGAATTCTCTGAGTCTTCAACAACAAGACGAGGAACAGGAGGAGTGTCATATAGTGACTCTTTTGCTGGGGTTGATGTAACAAGTGGCAATGGAAGGTGTGAGAGGGAATGTGAAGGTGAAGGCTGTAGACTGGCACCTCTCTCATTGGGATTTCTTGGAACATCAAGGCTCACAGACTGATTCAGACTTTTCCTTATCTAAGAATTAAAAAAGAAATGGTCTGAGTATTCATAGCAGAGGCAAAGTGAACAAATTCATCTCACAAAAAATGAAAGAACAAAGTCATGTGAACCTCTGTCAAGGCTCAATCTCTTTCTACTTGTATCAGGGAAATCAATCACACCAAAAAGCCAAATAGATGAAAGGAAACTCACAAGTGACTTCCGTGGTGTAGGAACACGTGTAACTCTTTCATACCTATTAGAAAGTGATGTAGCTTCAGTCTTTCATTCTAACATCAGAACTCTGAGATGATTCATGCTTAATTCTCCATAGAAATACATGTGAAACTCACACATTATCCTCATCATTTAGGGTAACATGTCTGGATTCATCTACTACTGGGGGAATGCTTTGGTGATAGGCAAATTGGATACCCTCAGTGACATCAGATCCACTCTGGTAGGTGGTATCCAGTCGAGGGCTTGGTCTGCCTCTGGACCCCGTAAACAAGGCACGCCGAATCTTGGGCTAGAAGAGTAACATTACGTCCTTGCCTCGTCTCCTCATTTTATTTTACATCAAAAAATTTAAAAGGAGAAAGTACTCACAAATATTTTTGTACTCATCATATGAAACCATTCCTAAGGTAGAGAACTCAGAAAGCAACACCACTGAATGTCTGGTGTTGTATTCTATCATCCTTCTCCATGTAATCCTTGGAACACCTCATCAACCTTGATTTCAATGACATTATGAAATAACTCAATCAAGAAGATAAGAGTTTAATAGATATCATGAGATTTTCTCAGTACAAAAAAAGTGAATTTCATGAGGTGAGAAGAAGGACAAGACCCATAATGCTTTGTTTGCTTCCTGCAGTGGCCATGCTTCACCCTAATCTCCATCCTTGTAATACATTTTAATTTCTCAATATTCTTGCAAGTATAGCAATACATCCTTAATCCTGGTATCAGTCACCATTGCAATGGTGATGACTGGCAGTGTGATCTGCCAGCCTCAGGCCTGCAAACCATTCACTGACTATAAAATAGTAACTCTATAAAGGATATGTGAAAAATAGATAGCATTGAAATACCAAGGAGTCCTAGTATGCATATAAAGCCCATCACTGAGTCAATCATCAACAGGATAGGATTTAATTATCAATATAGGGATAATGTTACAGTATAAGTAAGCCAATAACATCATCATCAGTGGCATTTACTCCCCAACCTCATGTCAACAGTTATTTCATGAGACATCAACAATTAAATAGAACAGCAAAGAAAAAAATCATGCATGAAATCCTCCCATGCAGCACATTAGACAATCATGCTGCTACTGCAGTGGCAACATTCACAATGCTCTCTAGGGTAGCTCCATGATTATCAGGCAATATATTCTTGATCTGACAAAAGGGAGAATATATGATTTTGAAGATATATAGCAGAGCAAGATCATGCTGCCTTTTCAGGCTGAAGAAGGACTTTTCATATCATCAGCATCAGACAAAGCATTAACATTGAGTCTCCAAGCCAACTCAAGAAGCAGCACCTATAAGATAAAAATAAAAGGGTGGATTAACTTGCCTGACTTTCTACATCAAGTGGATGTTTCTTTGATGATTGTGATATGCAAGAGGATAATACAGGGTGGGCCAAAAAAAACCCAGACAGTTTTCAACAATACACATTACTGCACTCACTGGAGATATGTTAATGAGGTTTGCAGCATTTGAAAGAGGAATGAATAAGCTTTACAATGGCATATTTACATTTCAAATATCACTAACATTTTCAGAAATTGGGAAGCTCATATAAACACCAAGCAAAAATTAAATTGCCACAGGTCAGGAGAGGGATGGACAGGCGGCAGCCTTCATGACTGAAAGTCACGTGCAGTCTCCCTCTGAGAGTGCGGCAACTCGATTTTTGGTTGTTGTTCATATGAGCTCCCAAATTTCTGAAACTGCTGAAGATATTTGAAAGGTAAATGTGTCATTTTACAGCTTATTCATTCTTCTTTCAAATGCCACAAACCCCATTAACATATGTGCAGTATGTGAAGTGTAGTGTATTGTTGAAAACTGTCCATATGAGCCCAATATACTTGTTGAATGTTTTGGTCCTCACTAGACCCATTTTTTTAATAGTACCTCTGGATGACTGAAGGATAGCTGCAATCTTTCCATAAAATGTGAATTAGCCCTTTCTCAAGAAATGTGATAGAAGATGGGAAGAAGCCTGGAAAGCAACAAATGACTATTTAACTCTTAAATTCTTTTCCATTCTTCTGTAGAGACTAAAATTAAATCTTATTTTCCATAGTAGTCTATGATTGCACATAGCAAACCTTCTCCTCCAACTACAGAAAATTGTTATTTTCCTGCGAATGACCTTCCAATGTAATGTTTTGACATGGAAGGTACTGAAGCAGGAGTTTTCTGATTATATAACTTTTGAGAAAGTGCTCTAACCTTGAAGAGATCCTTGTTAAGGTCTTGTCTCAAAAGTTACATCCCCACTGCAACAGTGTGTCCCTTTGAGAGAAAATATGACCATGTAACACCACATCAAAAGAATACTATATGTTGTCACAAGATATACAAGGATTCAGCTATATACATGGTGCAAGGTATGAATTTTAGTGAATCAACAATTCTATGGTCATACCATTCAACTGTTCCTTCCATCAACACACAGTTGTTCCCTTGAAGAAATCTCTCCTGATAGCAGTGCTTCCTAGAATGAGAGGAAGTAAATACAAACAAACTAAAGGCTCTGGAAGAAAATACAATGATATTCATGTCATTCCCACAAACATTGACTCACAATCCTCTGAAATGCTCTGCTTCATACTTGATATATTTGAACTAGGAGTCAGTGCCAGGGTGTTCTCTCCTGGAATGTTGTGAAGCTCATCTTAAAGGCTCTAAGGATATTCTTCTGATCAAGGGCATCAGAATATTTATCCAGTAATCTCTTTGCATTTGCCAAGCTCAAGTAAAATGACTAGCAACTGAGTAGCAAGCTCCTTGTAAAAAGTTACTTTTTTGAGCACAGAGCACTGAAGCTCCTTGATGGAGGTTTAAATTCAGCTAAAAGATATGTATCTGAAGTTCTTGCACTTCTGCTCATCTTTCAACTTTTAATTTTAAATATGGTTTACTAGAAATAAGAAATGCAAAAATATGATAGACCTATGAAGAAGGGGTGCAAAAACTAGTTTTCCATCAATCCCTTTCTTCACCTCTGCTCAGTGCTGGAAAGTATTTGTTGAAAGTTGCATTTACTTAAGTAAATGCAACATGTCCCAGTAATTAATTAAGGTTTGTTGGAAAATGTATGGTAATAAGTCACGTTTCCTACCTACAAAGTTACAAGGGCATTTAATTACTTATTTACTGAAAAAATTACTTTGTGTTTACAGTAATGGTTTTTTATATTTATAGATGAAACATGAATGGCTGATGCTTACAGCAGGGAAGGAGGTGAAGAAGGGATTCTGTGCAAATATGCTGATAGATCCTAGGTCATTCACCAATACACCAGGAATAAAAGACAGTTGATCCTCAATGACTGTCATTTGCCAGATTCAGGCCTGAAAAATTCTCACTGACTCAACCATGCTGTCTTCAGCAAGGATTGCTAAAATTTTTATTTTGAAAAGGATTTTGCATAAAAAATACCTACAAGACCTGTAGCATGCACATGAAAAATATCAGAGATTCCATTCTCAATTGAATGAGACAGTAAAGGAAGATAAATTACACAGTGGATACATCACCGGCATAGCACTGATTCCATGGCACTTATCAAATGAACCACAACAGCAGTAACACAATTTTACAGTACCGTCTTCACAACTCATGCTCAATGAGGGCAAATACCTGAATGAACAAACAATAATGAGAATGCATGAAAGACAAAATTTTCCAGTTATTCCAGAGAATTCAGACAGGCATGAAGGAAAATGCTGAGATACACTAGCAATTGAAGAAAAGTCATGACTAGTTTTTCCCATGGGATCTCATTACTTTGAGGACCGAGTTCCAGAAAGTAGTCAAGAATAGGGCCTCTCCAACTACTAGTACTTAACATGCATCTGATTCATGAAAGACAAATCCCTCATGCATCCAAACCACAATCAAACACTGTTAAGTGTCATCAATGACCACAGTTAAACCCCAATATGCTTCATCAATGGATCCAATTAGAAATAGCAGGATGCCAAGTAGATAGAAATAAAATTCCACACACACTATGATGGATAAAAATCCTGCTCATGCACTCAATCATTTAGGAAATGAATAACCAGCAATTATCACAGAATAAATATTTAACACTAGTCCACAAAATTGTTGGATATCTCACCATGAATGCATGGTCAGAGATCCAATGGCATTCAATTTATCCTTCAATATATTCCCATCACTTGAAGGTAACTGATGCTAAAAAATATTACTCATGTTTATCTAGGTTTCTATAAATGCATTATGATGTACCACTTAGTCTATTGCATGTACAAAAAGCGAAAGTAGTAGCAAAGTCTTAGGATTATGTGAATCTAAGAACAGTAGGTTCAAATTTTGCAACAGGGAGACATCCTTTCATGCCTTCCTGGTAACAAAATTTCCTTTCCTTCCTCATATGAAAATAGGAAAGTACATGATGGAATGTTCCCTATGTGACAGAATTAGGTCTAATTAAAGTAGTCCAGTATCACAAAGGTAGCATACAAGGGAAGAACAGAAATTGCCTCATGAGAGGGGCAAGCTCATTTTTAAAACATGGAGTACATTAACACTTCAATAAAAGATGCCCAAGTGTTAGTTATTTCACTAAGCCATATGATACATAGTCCATAGGAATAGATATGAAATGGAGGTGAGAGATTCAAAATAAGCTTTTCAGTCACATCTATACGCAAGTATGGGCCATAATGAGCAATGCTGTATCCATCCATAAAGCTTGAGCAAGTATGAAAGCTTTCTTATTATAGCCCAGGGTGAACTATGACATTTCACAATTCTAACAGGATACCATAAAAGGGAAAAAAGACTTTTAAAAAAATTACGAACTTACCAGTGCACAACATTGACAAAATTTCCTTACTTAACTCTAATCTGGTATTCAGTCAAGGCAAGTAAAGCAAACAGACCATCAGGTCTAGTTCAAGTTTAAAAAAATCCCATGTAGGACCTATGCAGAAACAACAAAATTGTCAGATTCTGGGTAAGTAAAAAATAATTATAATAATAAATCAGATCCCATGCCAGTAAAAGAAAGGTCATCAGGGGAGTTAGAATGCTTGATCCTTCTCCTGAATATGTTAACACCAGGAGGCTTTGCAGCTCTTTCCATCAATACATGTTGGAATTGCAAGGCTAGAGTAGCCTAAATGCTTGAAGGATCTATAAGAACTCATATGCCTACAAGTACTTACAGGAAAAATTAGAATCTGATATAAACTGCTGTGGACAGATGGTTCTAACCCATTAAAACCACCAAACAATAAGAAAGTGTGTCAAGGTGAAAATTTACTGCAGTGGCTTTGGAATGAATTTGTGCATTTTTTAAATCTCTCAGTGCCAGTTTGGACTGTTGCAATAGGGTTTAGAAAGAGAAAGTTTGTACAACTCTTTACAGTCAATCAATTGAAGCCAGTCCAAATTCAGTAGAAGTTCAGAGGGGTGAGTACAATGGAAAGAATGACACATTGGGAGAATCAGATATCTCA